ATTTTTGTGAAATTTTTATAAAAGAAAGAAGGGAAATAAAAAATGATTAAATCAAAAAAACTATAAAAATACTATTAAATGATCCCAAACTTTTGTAAGCTACCGTATATAATAATTGACAAGAAAGAATTCTTAATAATAATGAAGTTTAAAAATATATATAATTATAAAGTTTATATGTTAAATTAATTATCAATATATTAAATATTATTTAAAAAACTTATTATTAGTTACATTTTATAACAATAAAAAATTTTTTTAACTTATATTAATTAATAAATAAAATTGTTAAATTAATTATCAATATATTAAATATTATTTAAAAAACTTATTATTAGTTACATTTTATAACAATAAAAAATTTTTTTAACTTATATTAATTAATAAATAAAATTGTTACACACATTAAATTAAAATTTATTAATATCAGTTTGTAAAAATTTAAATAATTTAACTTTTTTAAATCAATATATATATATATATATTTAAAGCTTTCAAGTTAATAAAAAATGAACTTTTTAATAATAAAATAAATAAAAATTGAAATTATCATCATCTTATATTTCAAATAAAAAAAATAAGAAATGTGAATTTTACATTATATATAATAAATACAATATGTCTAAGCAATTCAATTTCTTGAATTTTTTAAAAAGTATATTTTAAAAGTTTGCATTGACTAATTGAATTTTTTTAAAAAGTTACAGTAAGAACAAATAAATTTGAAAAGTTATTTATAGTATGCAGTTTATTGTTTTTCAATATTTATTATTATAAAGTAAAATAGCAAAATTTAATAATTCAATGTTAGAATTTATATAAATTCATTACCACAATATGTTTTAATGTTTATTTATTAATGGTTTTTTTGATACGTTATACAAAAATTTTTCTTTTATTTTGTAGTTTAAATTCCGAGAAAAAAAAATTTTTTTTTAAAGAAAGGCACAAATAATCATTCTATTCTCACTACGAGCAATTGTTAAAAAAACAATGCTTGAAACATGGCCGAGTTTAGTTTTATTATGTTTCGGTACTTGAACATCCCATCACAATTGATCGTTCTATACATGGCTCACGACGATTCCCTTTTTCCCATCGTGTCATTTTTTGGCTTAGTTTTATTGTTGTTTCATCCCTTCTGAGAATCTCATCATTCTCCCATATTTGAGACATATGCTGCATTATTCCTATTTGAATCGGACTCATTCAATTTTGCTCTCACGAGCCGATTGTCGCGTATAGGTCCCGAGCGTGACTCCCGATTTGGTGTTTGTACAACATTTGGGTGCGATACGAGGAGCGCGCTCTTCAACAATAGAAATATTACTTAAATATTATATGCAAATTTTAGGTTTAATTAATAAGGAATCATAGTAATTAGGCAAGTGATTTCTAGACTATTCGAAATTCCTTAATATGCATGTACAGGTGAACACCTTTACGGGGTCATAACTAAAGTATAAAACTTGTATTTAGAGAGAATGCACTTACAATGAGAAAAGTAGAATATACTGGTATTGCTCTTGTTATCAAGACCATGATCTTTGTGAATATGTACAGCATATAAGATTTATTAAAGACCAATGTAAGTTGCAATACAGTATGTTAGATTCAACTTGCTTAATTTATGGGTTGCAACACCAAGAGAAACAATAAAAATGCGTTATTGGAACTAGTGCTATCGAAAAGACGGACCATGGTAGCAAAGGGTCTTGTCATAATTACACAAATACTAATTTTAGAGAAGTTCTTTTAATCTTTATTGTCGTCGACCTCTGAATTATTTTCATCGTATCCACACTTTTCTATTTTCTTTTTCTTATTGTTCTTCTTCTCTTCCTCTTCCTCATTCTCTTCCTGATCTTTTGTCTCCTCTTTCTTCTCTTTCTCCTTTCCATCGAGCAACACCTTTACCTTTTCAAACACGTACACACATTCCTCGACTTTCTCAATAGCGTCAATTGAAATTTGCTTGGCAAAGTCATATTTTAAATCACATATTTCCCCTTTGTTGAGAAAGAATATCGAGTGAGAATTGTGTCGGAGATTGACAGCAATGTGAGCAAAATTTATGATACCATGCGTCCTTCTCAACTCGTCTTCAAAAGGTTCTAATCTTTCAAGATAATCGAGCTCTTGATCCACATGAAACTGCGATTCTTGTATAGACTTCATAACTAATTTCATTATTAAATGTTACACATGGGTCATTTGAAGGCACAGAGTAAATAAGACACGACACCTACACGACTCTAGTTCATCCAATATGCGCTATGAAATGTAGATTGTGTTAAATAAGCACTAAAATAAAAAATCGGTGTATTTTAGTTAGAATAATTTACATCAATTTCTTGAAAAGGTTTGCCGTTTTCTTGTGTTCTTGGTTCACGTTCGGAACGAGGATGAGGAGATATCCCTTCATACGTTGATTTCTTGGGTTTCAAGATGGAAGCAGCAACTGATGGTTTGTCGTAAGATTCATCCATAACGATATCTTGATCGATGGTAACCGTGTCCTTTCCAAGGCTATATTCCGATTTTTCGCTAGGTTTTTCTTCTGTTGAAATATTGCCAAATAAATTGCCATCGTTATTACGATTATTATTTGGTGCATTCTCAGCGGCAACAGTTGATGCATCTCGAAGATTAACATCAATGTCCATATTTTCAAACTTGGATAGTGGATCTACATCCGGGGACGATTCCGGTGGAGAGTCGGAACTCTGAGGCTCAGAAAATGAACATTCATCATTAATCGCTTTCGTATTTTTTCTTGGATTTTTTCTTTTGTCGTCATCACGCAAATCCCAATGAATTTTCTGTTCTTTTCTAATTAGACCAAAATTCGCAATGTCGCTACTCTTTTCTTCGGATCCTCCGACATGATTTTTTAGAGTAAATGATGAAGATCTCGGTGGTTCAAAAGGCTCCTGGCGTACAGCATGAGCAAACGGTAACGTGTTTGATGTACACCTTTTACTCCACTCTGCAAGTTTCTCTGGTGTAAGTTTTAAATTATTGATGTTAAAATTCCTTGGTATGCTATCAGAAGACATTTTACTTTGGCAGAGGGTCGATTCACTCAGGTTTATTCAATACATATAATATTTCGGGCTTTTAATATATGATTATTCATGCACATTGTTAACAAATACACGCGTTTTTTTTTTTTTTGGATTTCCTAATGCTATTTTAACGCGTCTCTTCCTTTTTTTTGTAGTCACAGGATGTAAAAAGACCTGCAGGGTGTATATTTTTACTATACATACTATTTAATACAATTTAACATGTTTGCCATCAATTCTACTATTGATGAGTTATTCACATATAACGATATCCTATACGCCGAGTATTTTGAGTTTTTCTCGTGCTAAAATCGGTCTTTCCACTAATAGGTGTTTCCTTATAATTAATAATTATAAGTTCGCTAAGAAAGATAAAAAACATTTAGTGCTCTGCATTTATACTGTATTAAGTAATAATTCATGCATATCGCAAAAAATTAGTGTTATCGCTCAAGCTCAAAAAATATAAAGTTAGGCATAATAATACTTATAACCAATAATATTAATAAGACCTATGAGAGTCAATGAAAGTACTGAAATGGATGCATTTGCCGGATACGTCTAGTGAATTTTATGGGATTTATTAATCGAAATTTGGATGGTTGAAGTAGAATGTTTCCGGATAGAATAAGAGAATATATTTATCGTTAAAATCCGAATTTCAAAAAATTTTTTTGAAAATACCTTACACGGATGTTCAACTTAATAAAGATTTATTGATATATCATCTTATCTTTTGTATTATTTGTCCTACTGAGAAGTATACCATCTGGTTTTCTTTTGATAGAATTATCGTCATTAGGAGTTAGAGTTGTAACATCTAATGGTGTTCACGGTTTAATGATTTAGAAATTTACCATCTACAACATCAATATTCGGGATCTTAACGAGTTGAGTCGAGTCGAGTCGAATCTCGATTCTGGGTTTTATATTAAATTTATTATGTGGGTCATGATACACGATAATACTCCGAAACATATGCGAGTCTACGCACGAGTCTATGCGAGTCTGATTTCGGGACCCTAATTAAGCAGTATTTTTCATAAACAATTTATTATATAAAAATTTTTCTTTCGTTATTATTATTATGCAGTAAATAAAGATTTAAGTATTTCTAGAGAATACTGTATATGGGTATGTTAAAAACCATATCCTTTTTGCAATAATTGAAAATAAAATAAATAAATTAGTTTGGGTTATAAAATGTTAGTAATATAATGATTTTTCAAATTAAAATAAGTATTTCATGGATATCATTATAATCAAATCGCAAAATTATAACTTATTATGATATTATTCAAAACATCTTATATTAATGAAAAAGGGATTAGCAGAATGTATATACAGTATATTTTTTTTTTTACCCTCTATCAGGTTAGTTATGTGTGCTATATTAAACATTTTGTAAGCTGTACATATAAACTGAGGTACTAAAGCTAATTCTTTAACTAACTCACTTGTCTTGATTGTATTACTTCTCTAAGTGCAACTTCAGAAGTAATTTATCATTCCATTAATAGTTTGAGTGAAGATCCTTCCAACTTCTAACATCATTGCTTGCAGGTTACCATTGTAGAAAAAATCAGTAGAATATATTTTAAATATATATACTATATATATTTAAGTGCCAACTTAATCTTAGCTTTATTAAACATATTTTATAATGTAGATTACATATAGAAAAATACTTGAAAATAATAAAACTAACAATATAATTGTTGAAATCAACTTTAAATATATTTCTTTCTTCCTAAAAAGAAAAAACTAGTAAAGAATCACTAGTACTAATAAAAAATTTTAAAAAGATGAAACTATGAAACTAAAAGAAATAATTAGTCTATATTATTTCTTATTGTATAACTTATACAGAGGGAAAAAAAATCATTTAGAATATTTATTAAATTCAGAATATGAAAAGTACCAAACATCTATTTATATATGATAGTAAAAATATCAATATATAGTTTGACTATATTTCAGATTTCTCAATTATGTTTGCATAATATCAATTATATTTCAAATGCTTTTATCAAAAATCCCTCAAAAAATATGAGAATTTCAGCCACTACCTTTAATAATCAACTTATGTTCTTTTATAGAAACTCACAAATTATTAATATAAATTATATATAGAAATTAAATATTGTAATCAAATTTATATTTAATATATTTAAGTAAAATTACTTTCAAAAGAACAATTCCCAAAGAAAGAATTAAATAAGCAATTTATAATAATAAAGAGATAACAAAGAATAAATTCATCAAGAATCTTTAAACAATATTATATAATATTCATAAGAAATATGGTTTACTCAGAATTCAAATTTATTTATAAATCAAGAAAACTAATATAATTTTTTTGTTTTAAAATCAAAAAAAGATATTTAATCTTTCAAAAAAAAAGTAAAATTATTTCTACAAACTTATCTTACTTTAAGTGAATTATAATTACTTATATACTTATAAAAATAGCACTAGTCGAAATTATATCATTCGACTGCCAAATTATTGCTGAATTTGGCAAAATTTAATAATAAAAATATTGATGAATTATTTACAATTGCTGCCACTCAGCATTAAAAATATTGGCAAAAAATCAGCAAAAAAATATCGGCATTTTGTGAAAAAAAAATTTGTCACAAAATCTGACAATATTGCGACAAAAAAAAATTTTGTGGTAAAAAATTCGGCAAAAAAATTAATACTGCGGCAAAAAATTCAACAAAAAAATTGGTACTGTGGCAAAAAAATTCGACAAAAAAATTGATACTGTAGCAAAAAATTTGGCAAAAAAATTACTGCGGCAAAAAATTTGGCAAAAAAATTATTGCGGAAAAAAAATTCAGCAAAAAAATTATTGCGGCAAAAAATTCAAATTTCACGAAATTTATTAAAAAATTACAAATTCAATTAATTAAATTATTTGTCATTTCCCTCTTCCTTTTCCTCCTCTTCCTCCTTTTCTACTTGTTTTTCTTTTCCCTTTAAAGATCTCGACTTGACTCTTTTAAAACTAGCCCCAATTGGTTTTACCTTGCCAAATGTTTTCTGAGATTTTTTGCTTTTTTCTTTTAATCTAACTGCCCCCAAATATCACCATCATAGATATCACATAGAAGTTTGTCAATGCTTGATTAATCTACCCAATACAGAAGGTTAGATTCAAAATTTAGATTTTGATACATTTGCGACAATTGATACCAAATAATAGAATATGGAAAAACTAAATAGAACCAATTAATTACATTTCTGTTTAATAATTCTGATTGGGAATTGCAAGTTTTTCTTCGTTTTATTGCCAAATTTGGAAATTCAATATAAATATACTTCATGACTGATAGCCGATTGTTTTTTTGAAAACCAAGAGCATTATCCTGTCTGTACAATCTGTGGCATCTTTGACATGCCACAAAACTAACAAACTGATCTGATAATCCAAGTTTATTGTTGGCGGTATACAAAGACTCACAAAAGAGCTCAAATTCTTCACCACCAATTTCAATTAGTACCAATTTCATAAATTTTAGTAGTGCATCTGTTGTACTATTTGATAAATTAAATCAAATTCTATAGTTCATAATCCACAACAAAATTTACATAAAATGACTATCCAAAAATTTGCTAGAATTTGATAAAAATTTGTATTTTGGTGCCAAATAATCTTTGAATATATTATCTATTTCTTCATCATCATCAACTTCGGATTCATCATTTTCAGAACTTGCATCATTCAATCTCAGATTTTGTTGATTGTTGCTTAACAACATAATTCGACTTGATGAAATATTTCTCGTTCTGTACTGAAATGTGAATTCTTCATTTGTCGAATATTCACTTTTTTTTTGATATCTATGCAAAAATTTTGTTCATGAGTCAACAAGTAATCCATTGCATTTACTATAGTTACAAGTAATTTTTGCTTTTTTGGGATTTTTTCTTAAACTTTCGTTAAGTAAAGCTGAAATTGAATGCTTTTTTAACATTTTGAAAATTGGCAAATAGTAACATAAAGTGACAAATTTGTAATTGATATATCAAATAGCTTTGAATTGTAATATAATACAAGCATAATATGATAAATAATATATAGTATAATATAGTATGTAACTCCGAATTGTAATATAATATAATGAATAATAGTATAATATTGTATGCAACCCTGAATTGTATTAAAACAATACGAATAATTTTATTTAAATATCCCTTTAATTTGATTTTTTTTTTCGATACCTAAAATATCTGAACAAAAAAAACCAACTGGACGCACTTTTTATAGAGAACAGCTGCCTTCACCTTCACAGCCTTCACAACCTTCTCTACCATCGCAAACTTCCTTCGCATTAACTGCATCAGAAGCAGCAATAGTTTGTTCAGTAACACCTAATGCCGAATCTTCAATATCTACTATAATTGCCGAATTGCTTAGGTGAAGACCATCTATTGTATTGCCTGAAATATTGATATCTAAAATTGCGCAAATATTAATGCTGGAAGTTGAATTGTCACCCGAAACTTGAACCAGGGAGAATATTGAAAAAGGTTTGAATTAAATTATTGCTGAATTATTAAAAATTACCTTTATTAATCATACAATTTATTTAGAAAACGAAGAATTACGCAAGCGGGTCGAAACACTAGAAAGAGAAAATGTTGAATTTGTAAAACAATTAGATCAATGGAATATATTAACAACAAGTTTTCAGAAGAATCAGAATAGCAAAAAAATAAAATAGAAGATTTAAAAAAGGAAATTGATCAGCTCAAATCTGTGAAACCTGAACTTGATCTTATAGTTGTTGTAGAATCTAGAGCAACCGATATATCAGAATCCGAAAGTTTGCCGAGTTTAGGAAAGCGCTGAAGAATTCAACCTAGGAGGAGTAGTAAAGAGGCAAAACCGGTAAAACCGGTTATTGAAGATGAGCCGAAACTAGAAGAAGCGAGAGTAGAAATGAAGGCCTTAATGAAAACCATTCCTGACAAATATAAACTGAGGATAGACAAAGTTTTTTCGAGTGATATGAATAAAAAAATATCAAAAAAGTTAATACCCAAATTAATAAAATCCATGGCCCCATGTTTTAATCTCTCACGAAAGCAAATAAATGAATAATTAGGCACTTTACATCGCCATTAGAGAGGAAGATATCGGAAGGCAGAAACTGGAAAACTAGAAGCGGACAATCATCGCTTACATGCAAATAGCTGATTAAACAAAGTAAGATTAATAATATTCTGTATTTATACTACCTTCAAGTATCAATTTTTAACGAATAATTAAGAAAAGGGCACGAAGAATTAAAAGCGTACAGTCGTTTATTGAATGAAGGTCAAAAAAAGTTGCCAAATATCAGAATGAATTAACTGATGTAGTTAAAGAAACAAAGGTACATTCTCCTGAAGAAAGTGACACTGATCCGGGAAACCCTACTAAAAGAATAATAAATGTATATGATTACAGTTGGTATTCTGAAGAATTATTTTTTAGCAAAATATTATATGCCGAATAATTACAATATTAATCATAATTACTTATAGTTAAAGAATTTGTTGATATATTTGAATGAACATTCAAAATCAAT